AATATGTATATTATAATAATAACTAAGATTCAACTTACCTAAAGAGGAGAGGAAGAGTATATTTATGATTCACATGAGTATATGCCATGCTCATTGAAAAATAGATTTTTAGAAAAAAAAGAGGAGCACAAGCTTCATGATGCACTTAGAAATCCTAGCTGCCTTTTAAATGTAAACAGCAAACTTAATTTTTTATTATGTAAAATAAAAAGTTGAACTACCCCTAACTTCATTGCATAAATCAAACGTCATATTCAAAAGTGACCATTGTTGAGTTCTTTGGAATCAACAACTTTTTCTGTGGCTAACAGTGTTTCTTGATATTCCTGAAATCAGCTAAAATGCTGGAAAGAGCATGTAGAAATATAGAATCAAGAAGCTATTAATAGAGGATTTTGAATTCAACGGAATCAGCATTTCTTGTATATATTTCTTGTATATTTGCTTTTTTAAGACAATAAGCCTTTGATTTAATGTGTGTGCTAGCCTTGAAATCAACTCCCTACAAAGAAATTCCTGGTTCAATGCAGGGTCCATCAGAATGCCCTTGAACCTTAGGTCACAGGCCACCAAATGTGGACAAGGCAACACAGACCATTGATAATAGAGGAATCTCTAGAGTGAGTGCTCCCGAGACGCAGGAGAAAAACATGAAAGCAGGAGGAATTCTAAACTCTAAAGATGACAAATACTTAGACTGGTCAGGCTAAAGGAATTGAGGCAATAGGACTAAAAAAACAAAAACCAACATAAAATCCCCCAAAACAAAAACCCAAACCTGTCATTTCTCTCCATAACTTTCTTTAGATAGTCCTTACATGTTTTAAGAAAAAGTTTTTAAAATATTTTAAGAAATATATAACAAGAGCTGTTCGACATGCTTATGTCCCTTGCCCTAGTGATTCTGCCTCTAGATATTTGTCTTAAGAAAATATCAGAAGTGTGTAGAATGATTTTGAAGATGTGTGTTTAACTGAAACATTATTTGTTTTTTGTATTTTTATATTTGTAATATAGAGGAACTGAGAGACAAGCTCAATGTACAAAAATAAGGAAAAAGTTAAAAAAATTGGGTTCAATCCATATGATGGAATGCTGTGTCGATATTTTAAAATCCTATTTTCAAAGATAGTTGTTCATAAAGGAAAATGCCCAATCTGTAGCACTCAAAAAAAGGGCAGATACACAGTCATATATTCCATATAATCATAACTTTAAATATGTATATGTGTCCATGTATATATAAAGAAAAAAATTAGAAAAACACACCAACATGTTAACTATCCCTAAGTGGCAGGATTTGAGATTACGGGTGATTGTTTCTGCCTTTGTAAATATTTTAAGTAGTATTTTTTAAGTCTTTTAAGATTTTTCTACAATGAGCCTGTATTGCTTTTAATATCAGAACTATTAACTTTTAAGGTTAGGACATTCATGGACGTTCCCTTAAAATGACAGTTTCCCCCCTAAATCAGAAATGTGGAGACTGTGTTTTGGGTTTAATGGAGCAAGGTGCAGAATTATGATTCAGTGCTAGATTTTCACACACAAGGACCCAGTCAATGAATGGATATTTACAGAGCACATACTCATTCAATCAACCAATGCTTATGGAGCACTTGCCCTGTGCTGGCCACTGAATTCATGCCCAGGAGCCAGGGGACCTCAGGGAACAACCAGGGGTGGCTGGTGAGGGCGAGAAGCTCTTACTCTGGGTATTCGTGAATGTCACAAATCACTGAGGAATGAGACATTCCTAAAGGTTGGGCAAATGTGCCCAAGCTGACTCCCAAGGAGTTGAACCTTTGCTCACAAGTCCAAGACCCAGACCCCCCTGCTCAGCCAGGCACACCGCTGAGCCCGGAGGCAGAGTCTGCGGGTTTCCAGCATGATGTAATGGCTGCTTCGTCACCTGCAGTCTTGTCTCGGAAGCTCTACTGGTCCTGGAGGCTTGGTTTGTAATATCCTTGCACAGCTTAGTACTTTATTAGCATTCTGTTTAACCATTGACAACTTGATATTCTGACCAATGGTTACGGTATTTCTCCGTATGTTAGGTTGACAGGTTGTTGATTTCCCAGATCAGTTCGCTCTCCTTCCCTTCCTCTCTTGCCCCACCTCTCTCCAGTTTGCAAGCTTCTATTTTCCAGTGGCGTTATCTGCATTTTGTAAGTACACTGAAATAGGAGAAAGCAGGGGCTCTGGGACCACGTGGCCATCTCTGCACAATCAGATCCTCGGGGCTTGCTATTCCTTAAAGTCACTGAGGATGGAGCCGAGGCAGCCCTTCATCCCCCAGAATGAATGCTGCCCTGTGACTACCGGTGGCGGGAGCATATTGCCCAGGGTCACATATGGTCTGTTTGGCGGGAGCCCCACGCTGTAAAGGGCAGGTCTGATTGTGAACATTTTAGTCACTTTCCAGAGAGCCTCCTGGTGAACAGGGAAGCATGTAAGCAGGTAGTTTTCTGCTGCAGAAGCCACCCAGATGTGCCTTCTTCCTACATGGGCCACGGCTCTTCCCAGCCCCCGACGTTGGGGTTTCACGTGAGTCACCCAGAGAGGCTCATTAAACCGCACTCATTAAACCGCACCAGCGCGCCCCGCAATTTCGTTCTCTGTAGAGCAGGGTCCACCACCCATTCTGGGTCTTTCCAGTCAAAGTGGCTGTTTTTCTTCAACCGTTCCCTGCCCCTTGGGATAATGAGAGTCATTTACAAGGATAAACGTTTAAACCTCATTAGGAGACAGCATAGCCTAGTGGTTAATAAGCACCCTTGTTTCAAATCCTATCCCAGTGGTGTGCAAGCATTGTGTCTTTCAGGAAACGTACTGAAGTTTCCTCACAGGGGTGTGGTCAAGTGATAATTAGGGTTGCCCCTTGACCCAGTGCCTGGCTGATGGGAAGTCCGCAGTAAGGGTAGCTGTTACGGTTATTACCCGTTCCCTACACGACAGTGTCCCTAATACAGAATGTATGCCTATGCACGTGCGAGTGCACATGTATTTGGTGCGTGGGAAGAAAGGAAGGCTGCCACTGACAAGGCTTGCTTGCAGAGTTGCCGTGGTTGGACTTTTTTTCCTTGGGAAGATAGGAATGTGACATTTCTTACATATCATATGGGGAGGTGACTTCGATGTTTCTTTCGGCTCTTCATCATTTGAAAGGGCATCTGGTGACAGTGAGCTGTTTTAGAGGTCTGTCTGTGAGCTTTGCTAAAGTTAAAAATAAGTGAGACAGTGAAATTTTGTTTGTTCTCTAAAGGAAACCTCTTTCCCCCTCCCAATAGCATGGACGGTGTAATGTGCGTTCTGACGTACCCTCTCCTTACAGTACCCTCCGCGCATTTCTTTTCCCCATTTCTTCTCCTTCTCAGAAACAGGATCTCTTGAGCAGTAAGACAGAGCTTCAACTATCCCAAAACAGGGAAACTGTGAGATGGCTCTTAAAGGATATAAGCTAATACTAATCACATAATATGTAATAATCGCACCTCTATATATGATACATGATACACAACCACCGTAACAATCCCGGCCCTCTTTGGGAAGGAGAGCTGAGCTCTAGGCAATTGACGGCTTGTCCTTCAAAGCACCAGAAAATAACTAACTAAATAAATCAATAAAATAAAATAAAATAAAATATTTTTTAAAAGGAAGGAAGAAACAAAAGACAGGATGTTTTGGGTGGAAAACCTTCTGAAATGTAACTCAATCTCGACTGCTTTCCGGAAGAGTCTGGGAAATTTACATTTAACACCCCTTTTTCTTTTCTTGGTCTCGAAGTCGTCATCATGAGAACCGATTCTAATGCTACCGTATGACAAAGTTATGTGCTTAAGCAATTGAGATAGGTAGGACGTTTGCCTGCACACTAAGAAGTCCCAAACCACTGTACTTTTTAGAATTCTTGTGTCTGCTATCCACAATTTTCCATTTCCCCCTTCTGTGGGCTGTCAGCATTACTTCTGGTCAGCGTGTATGTCTACAGCAAAAGGCCTCTCTACTCCTCATTTCCTAAGTGTTGGAGGGGTGAAAGCGAGAAAATCACACTGGTTAAGGGTCTAAGGGCTACTTCTCCCAAGAGAGATGTATATGTCTAAGAAAAGTATTTCTCAAGTTTTGTTTTAATTTTAAAAGATTCCTTGTTTCAAAGCTATTTTCTGGATAAGTGAGGTTATGCAACGGCCAGTTCTATGTAAATAAAAAATATACATATAAAGTATTGTGGAGCTTCTCACTCCCGGCTCTGTCAGCCGTTACTCAAGTGCTTGCATTCAGATCATATATTTCCTCGGTGCCCTGAAGTTTTGAAAATTTTAATAGCCCTGTGGATGGAACTGACATGACAGGAAACGATTTCAAGTCTCCTGCAGTGATTTTTACACTCATAAAAGTGTTCTCAATGTACCAGAGGCAGTGTTGGATCCCAGAGAAATAATATCCTCAGAAATCTAACTCAGGTGCCATCTCCTTTTGGAGAAAGTTTCCTGTTTTCCCAAATGCTTTATAAGATGCATTTTTCTATGACTGGCCGTTTCTGTTTAAGATTCTATTGGTCACACATGTAACCTAGGCCACTGGCAGGCTCTCGGGATTTCCTGGCAGAAACCGTCGTGAGTATTAAAAGTCAAGGGGTTGGGAGCAGTGAGTCACCAGACACCACCACATTCAGCCGTGCGATGCTCCTGATTTACAGCTTTGTCCCACTTCCTCGGGTTGTCCCCCACAAGCAGAAGCAACTCAGGAGGCTGAGGAACGCAGAGCAGATTGTGGCTGGGCTGGCCTTCCAGAAAGGTCCACGCAGTGGTCCCTGGACCCTGGGAGGCCTCTGCTCCCCCCACCCCCACTGTTTATATTAGCTATCACGCACGGAACAGTCAGGTGGTACGCTGCTTTGCAGTCAGCAAGTTTATCTTGTGTTAAAGTTTTACCAGGAGAAGTCAAGTCGTGTTTACCCCCGTTCTGCGGCAGGTCATGTGCAAACAGCACCTGTGAACCTTTTCAGCACACGTGCTGGACTTTCTCCTTCATAGTTCTCATCACAACAACTGTTGGGGGGAAAGCCAGCAATTGTTAAATCTCTGGCAAATGTGACAATCCTCACCAGAAATGGCTGTCACTGCTGTCAAGGTGCACGGGACGTTACGTTTGCCGTTGTCGGAGCATGTTCGTTGATTGTAGACGTCAGTCCTAGCATAAACCCAAACTCAGCACACACGTAAGGACTCTGAGTGCAGCTACCAGGCATTCCCTCCGTGAAACAAGGGTCCTCGACAGGTAGAATTTTTTTTTTTTTTTTAATGTGTCAGCATTGAAAAGGATTCTATAAACTGGATTTCATCGTACTTCCCCATCTCTTTATTTAGTATTTATGTATCAGTCATAGTGTGTGAAGCGCTGTTCTAAGTGCTTTAAAACACTAATTCATTTAATATTCAAACAATTTTGTGAGATAAGGACTATTACCCCACTTTACATTTATGTAAACCAAGGTACAAAGAGATTAAGTAATTTGTCCAAGGCCACATTGCTGGTTAAAGGATGGAACGAGAAGCTGAAACCAGACCAGGGCAAGCAGAGAACTTACTATGCTGCCCACCCCACCTCCTGTAGTTATAAGTATCGGTAATACTGTTCTTTTTGCTTTTCCAGACAAGTTGAACCAAACTTGAGTTTTTAAAATATCTATTGTATTAGCTTGCTAGGGCTACCATAACAAAGTACCGAAGACTGGTCATAATATGCTAGCCATTAGTATGCTAGACATTATTATTTTTTTTTTGAAGATTTTATTTATTTATTTGAGAGAGAATGAGAGACAGAGAGCATGAGAGGGAGGAGGGTCAGAGGGAGAAGCAGACTCCCTGCCGAGCAGGGAGCCCGATGCGGGACTCGATCCCGGGACTCCAGGATCATGACCTGAGCCGAAGGCAGTCGCTTAACCAACTGAGCCACCCAGGCGCCGTATGCTAGACATTATTAACAAAATGTCAAAACAAGGGGTGCCTGGGTGGCTCAGTCCGTTAAGCGTCTGCCTTCAGCTCAGGTCATGATCCCAGGGTCCTGGGATTGAGCCCCATGTTGGGCTCCCCGCTCAGCAGGGAATCTGCTTGTCCTTCTCCCTCTGTCCCTCCTCCAGCTTGTGCACTCTCTCTCACTCTCTCTCAAATAAATAAATAAATCTTTTTAAAAATGTCAAAACAAGCTCCATGTGCTTTAAGAAGAGATAATATTCAAAATGGCCATTGGGATGCCAAAGTTTCGAGAAGTTCTCGTGTTTTTTTGGAGGGGGGTGTAGTTTCTTTGACAAGTCTCTCCAATTTGAAGTGGGTCCTATAACTATGAGACATAGTGCTGAAACCACTATTGTACCTTGATTTCTTCCCTTCCTCTTCTTACACCAAGTGTGAAGGTGTGGGGAACTCTTCCTCTATCTATCATCTATCTATCTATCTATGTATCATCCATCCATCCATCCATCCATTCATCCATCTATCATCTCAATAGACCACAGATTGAGGAGTGAAGTAGTCATCTTATTAGTTAATTGCATTTTTGGCAAGTGTTTAGAAAGACTTCATTTTAGCTTTCTCATCATAGAATGTGTCCTTTAAGCCAACTGTAGAAAGTATGAAGTCATATAAAGGGAAAGAGCTTTATGGCAAGAAATCTAAGGTAAGCCATCTTTTATGACTACAAGTAAATCCCAGGTTACAGTGAAAAATCAGTGATATGTAGAAATAATAGGTGTGTATATATGTAAATGTGAAATATCCTACAGTGTCTGGCATGGAGCAGGTGGTTAAAAATATTAACAGGCAGGCAGGCATGTGGGCCCAGTTTCTCCTGACAAATGGTAGAAATTGAGACCAGCAATGATTTTGGTCCCCTTGATGATGAACCACATGTAACACTGTAATTTTACTTCTCAGATAAGGTCAAATATTATCCCACCCCTGCTAATCCTAATTCAGATTCTCTGTCTTAGCTGTGTTCGTCATTTCTGCAACTACCACTCATGGCCGTGGAAGCGCAGCCAACACCAGTTTGGAAGCATTAGACAAGCATGAGCGCGAGTAGGGCTCAGTATTTGGGGCAATAGCCAGGTGGCTACTGTGGCGGATCACAGTATTGTTCACAATTATTTGTTCCCTTTCCTTTATGTGTGTGTGTGTGTGTGTTTTTTAAGATTTATTTATTTATTTGAGAGAGAGAGCGCACGTGAGTGGGGGCAGTGGGGAGAGCAGAGGGAGAAAGAGAGAATCTCAATCAGATTCCACGCTGAGCACAGAGCCCAATGCAGGGCTTGATCCCACAACCCTGAGATCATGACCTGAGCCAGAAACCAAGAGACAGACGCTCAACCGACTGCGTCATCCAGTTGCCCCCTCCTTTATTTTTTTTAAAGATTTTTTTTTTAAAGTAATCTCCACACCCCATGTGGGGCTCTAACTCACAGCCCCAAGACCTAGAGTCGTGTACTCCACCAACTGAGCCGGCCAGGTGCCCCTATTCCTTCTCCTTTAGAAGAATTATATATCCAGGGAGCCTGGGTGGCTTAGTCGGTTAAGTGTCTGCCTTCAGCTCAGGTCATGATACCTGGGCTCACCCAGAAAGGGGAATCATGAGTAAGAAGAAAAGGTCTAAAATGTTTTGAGAACTTTTGCACTTTGTAATTATATTCTTTTGGCCCTTTTCTCTGCTTGTTGAATGTTTTTGGATTCTTGCTATTGTCCCTATGATTGATTCAAGCCTACTATGATGCTCTTCTTAGATCCCAATTCATGTTCTTGCAAGGACATTCTTTGGAGGACCATGAATTGAGAGAACACATTCTTTGAAATTTAGAAATAGGTGGATCCCAAAAGTATCCAAGAATCCATTGTCACTTAAAGTGAGCACATAACTGGGGCACCTGGGTGGCTCAGTCAGTTGAGCATCTGCCTTTGGCTCAGGTCATGATCCTAGGGTCCCGGGTTGAGCCCTGCTTGGAGGAGAGTCTGCTTCTCCCTCTCCTTCTGCCTCCCTCTCTCTCTCAAATAAACAAATAAATTAAAAAAAAAAAATGAGCACATAACTTAATTCATATAATACAAGGTAGGGAATTCATTGCTCCATTCCCATCCTTTCCCTTATATATTCTCTCTTCTACAAGATCAGGCATATCAAATGTGGGGCCTGTCATGCTGCTAACTTGTAGCTGATTTGTTTGCCTCTCAGTGCGGTTACGAAAGCTCATGAAGTCAGGAGCTGGGGCAGCCATCTTGCAAGCATGAGGAGGCAAACCTGAAGACAAAAGCCAGCAATGCTGAGGATGGAGAAGCCAAAAGGTGGGAAGAAACCGGGTCTTCCATTTCAGCCTCTAAATTTACTAATCCTTGAACTACTCGGCCCCCAAACTTCTTGTTATGCAAGGTAATGGGCATCATTTGTCAGGTGTTCTGTTCATGACAGCCAGAAGTCAACCAGAATGATCGCTTGGCCTTTTACCCTTTCACAGATTGACTGTTGTGCCCAGACATGCCTGGCTCTCAGCAGAAGAGCTCCTGTTGGGCTCTCCGCTATAGGTGTCTCTGGGCTCTGTGAAGAAATAATGAACTGCTTGTGGGTCCAAAGTCCTCGCGGCTCCTTTGCTTTGTCTCACATATAGGCCACAGCAAGCACTCAAGAGTAGCAACTGCTTATTTTTTCGTAAAATAGGGGCTAAATACATGAATATATACTTTTGAGACTCTATAGATGCTCCTACAAAGAACAGTTAAGGGCCCTGGAAGGTGACCATACTCATGTGAGTCCTAGCTCTGTCCTCCCTTGACTGGGGCTAGGTCTCCCAGGGAACCATGGTGTCACCTACCTTGTGAATCCGATCCCATGAGGTTGCCAAGAAGTTGACTTCTCTGCCTCTATTCTGTGTGAGGGGACACTCGGCATCAGTAAGTTTCCTAAATATAAAATAGTAAATGTGTTCTAATTAAATAAATTAAGTACTTGGGAAATTAAACGTAAAAACTAACAACAAACCTCCCATTTACCCCAGCAATCATTTAGGCTTACACCTCCCCTGTTAGCAGGACTAAGAAGCCCCAAGAATGGGCTGAAGCTGCCATTTCTCTGTCCAGAACCCTCAATAGACTGTATGTTCTGTGAAGGCATTAGCTATGTCTGCCTGGCTCACCCAGTGCCTGCCTGAGCTTCTGTCTCCTTGTAGATGCTAAATACCTACATAAAGGATGAATAAATGATGAGCTGTAATGCGAGGCCCAGGGCTATGAGAGGTTCAGCCATATCAGATCCTGGCGGGGACTGCTCCTAAGGGAGTCCTGCTCCGTGAGCTCCAGGAGAACAGCAACAAGGATGAGTTAGTACATTATTGGCAAAAGGGCTTCACTGAAATCTTGCTGTAAATTTGTTGCAGAAAGGGCACTTGGGCATTTACTGTTAAACAAAGACAGGAATCTATATAACATTAATTAGAACTTCCATTTACTGAGCAAATGCTGTCTCAAACACTGTGCTCTGCTTTAGACATTCATTTAATCCTCCTGACCACCCCACAGGTACTATGGTTGGCAGCCTCTAAGATGTCCCCTGATGACCCCCACCTCTTGACATCTACACCCTTGTATAATTCCCTCCCCTTGCGTGTGGGCTGGATTTATATACTCAGTTCTAAAGGACAGTGCGGTAGAAGTAATGGGATGCCACTTGCAAAATTAGGTTATAAAAACATTGCCTTCTATCTTGGGTGCTCCAGCTGCCGTACCGCGAGCTGCCTTGTAGGGAGGCCTATGTGGCCGAGAACTGAGGGAGACCCCCAAACAATAGCCAGTGAGGAGCTGAGACCCTCAGTCCAACAGTCTGCAAGAAATAGCATGCTGCCAACAATCACACGCATTGACGTGGAAGAGGGGTCTCTCCCAGTCAAACCTTCGGATGGGACCACAGCCCTGGACGACAGATTAACCGCAACCTCATGAGATCCCTGGAGCCAGAAGCTCCCAGCTAAGCCATGCCTGGATTCATAATCCACAAGAATTGTAACATAATAAAGGATTATTGTAAGCTGCTACGTTTGGGGGTAATTTGTTGTGCAGCAATAGATAATATAAGGAGATACTAGTATTATTTGCACTTTACAGAAGAGGAAACTGAGGTTCAGAGTGGACAGGAAATGGTGAAGCCGGGATGTGGACTGATGTGGTCTGACCTCAGAGGCTACATGATTAATGACGAGAGTCAGTTTCAGATGGTGTTAAGCGCGTTGCTACCGTTTAGCCAGAGTAGGTACTGTGCAGAATCTTTCTTGGAAAAGAGTCTTCTTTGGAAAAGCTAATATGTGTCCTCCCAAGCCAGGTAAAATTTTTGAAAGATTCCAAAAGCAAAAAAAATTTACAACATGCAAGCGATCATAGAGCATTGCCATTTAATTTCTAGCAAAGATGACCTCCCTGCCTCCCAGCCCACAACCCCCAAAATAATCCCTCCAGCAGTTTCTTCTCTAACCCCTCACAATTATGCAAAACACAGCAAATGTGCATGCATGGTTGATTTTATACAAATTTTATAGAGAGTGTGCACACACACACACACACATAGACACACACACACCATCTATGAAAATTTGGGATCACAATTGTTCCTGTTACCTATTGATGTGTAGCAAATCACTCCAAAATGCAGAGGCTTAAGGCAGCACCAGCGTTTTCTTATCTCCCTCTCATGGTTTCCGAGGATCTGGAAGGTGGGAAGGGCCTCGGCTCTGTGGTGGGCTTGGTACCCTTTGCAGTTACAGTCAGACAAAGGCCTGGGCGACCCGGGGCTGCCCGGCTGCCCTCCGTCCTGTGCCCGTTTGGTGATCTCCGGGCAGCCTGACCGCTCACTTAGCAGCTGAAGGCTTCGAGAACAAGTGTTCTAGAGACGAGGCAGCAGCAGTGACACCTTTCATAACAAGGAGTCAGAATCACATATTGTCATTTCTGCCGAACCCTGCTGGTCAGAACAGTCACAAAAGCCTGCCCAGTTTGAAGGGGACGAGGCGTAGACCTCACCTCTCAGTGGAAGGAGCGTCAAAAAATTTGTATACATATTTTTGTGTTTTTTAAAAAAATTTATTTATTTGACAGAGAGAGAGTGAGAGAGGGAACACAAGCAGGGGGATTGGGAAAGGGAGAAACAGGCTCCCCGCCGAGCAGGGAGCCCGATGTGGGGCTCGATCCTAGGACCCTGGGATCGTGACCTGAGCCGAAGGCAGATGCTTAACCGACTAAGCCACCCAGGCGCCCCTGTATACATATTTTTGAATTGCCAGTGTGGTACTCTCATTTCTAATGTGGAATGAGTACACACATCTGGGGGGGTCCTGTGAGATAATTCAGGGAGCAGGGGCATAAAAAATATTAGAGCTTATATTCCTGTACTTCAATTCACTCATTTTATCCCATTTTTGAATCTATTTATAACCAACACATATGTTGGGAAATAGGCTCAACAGTTTTTTTTTGCTAATGAGGTGCACCATTTCAGAACTTTGTCAGATATTGCTAATGCCTTGTCCAGAGCCTGGCTCTCCTTCTCTACTTCTTACAAAAAATCAATGACCCCCCTTTATCAAGATCCACCAATCAACTCAGAACCTTTTTCTAGAAACTTCTTCAAAGAGTTCTATTTTCTAGCCAGTTTCAGTGGATCCCAGCTTTTTTTTTTTTTTTTTTCCATTCCCAACAACGCTGTAAGGTACATCCTCGTCCCAGGTGTCATGGTGGGATTTTGCCAAGGTAGGTGTGGGCTAAATTCAAGCAGTGGGATTCCTGGATTAAAGATTATGTACATTGAAAATTATGATTGACATTGCTAAATTGCTCTTAGAAGAATCTTAGCAGTAGCAATGACTACCAGTCGACAGCCCTCATAACAATATTTGCACATACCTATTCCTCCACATAGCTTCACAAGCAGTAATTATTATAAAACTTTATAGTCTTTGCCAGTTAGGTGAAAAACGGTATCCTGTTAGCACTTGGACAATGTGTCTTCAATTTCACACAGAGTGCTTGTTGGGCATTTGTATTATTTTTTCTTACAAACTGCTCATTTATGTTCTTTGCCCAGTTTTCTATTGGGTTATTCTGCTTTTTGTTTATTGATTTGTACTAGCGCTTTGTAATGTAAGGAAATTTGTCCTGTGTTTCCATTATGGGTTGCAAATATTTCCCCCGTTTAAAGGTGTTTTTGTCACACAAAGGTATAGATGCTTTTATGGGATGGAATTTATGGTTTTTAAATCAATGGCTTCCTCTCTAGAAAGGACGTCCCTTACAGAAATGATCAACAAAGGCACCCACGATTTTTAAATCTTATGGTTTCAAATATTATCTTTAAGTTTTATCTACGAGGAATTTATTGGGAGCCAAGAGTAAAGTAAAAATCAGCTTAAACTTAACTTGTTTTTCCGAATGGCCCACCATTTCTGAATGGTTCCAACGCCATTTGTGGAATAATCCCTCTTCCTGCCACTTTCCACGGGCTCTTGCTACCTTTACCTGATCCACACTCCCTGGCCATGCTGGGTAGATGGTTATTCTGACAGTGACCTAGAATTAGGGTGGAAGCGACTTGTAGCTTCGGGAGAGGAGAGAAAACGGGAGAAAGCCCACGGACCAGCTTCTCACTAAAGGCAGACGCATTCTCTATCTTGGGGACTGAATGGAGCCCCCCCACCCCATTCTCCTGGCCCCCCACCCTGGGCCTGGCTGAGAAAAATCTCTGTTGTGTCTCTTTGGCAGCTCTTGCCCACAGGACCCTTTTCGGGTCAGTGCATTAGGCAGAGCCGCTGTGTAAATTGCTTTCATGGGAGTGTTTTGGAGACTATTCAGGAAGAGCTAGCCATGAGCAAAATGGAATTTGAAATAAATCACTTGCCTCTGTGAAGGTGAACAACTGTAGGACTTTATATGGACATGGCCCTGTCTTTAAGAAGGCGCAAGGCACTTTGCCCTGTGTCATTAACCCATTTGGCTTGGTGGGGCGGGATAGGGGGAGGTCTCTGGTGAGATCTTCACTTCCGCCCTCCATTGATATGACAGAGGCTGGGATTAAGCTGAAGGTATCTTTCCAATTGGCTAATCTAGGCTGCTTGGAAAAAAGTTAGGTTGGCACCAGGATTCAGCCCTTACCTACCTAGCTAGAGACAGCTGCTGGGTCCCTGGCATGGACATTGGCACCCGTGACAGCAAAGGTCCAGGATCCAAGCCAGCTGCCTAGGGTGCTCGGGAGAGGCATGGGGAGCCTCCTTCCCACACTTGAAAGGTGCCAGGACTGGAGGCCAGCCCTTGATTCTTGTCTGAGACAGAGAAACCCCCACCCCCGCCGCGCCACTGAAGATGGGGCAGTCCCCACTATGCTCTCCAGAAGAAGCAGGATCTGGGTTCTCCCACACCCAGCGGCAACTCAGAAGCCCCAGAGCATGAGCAGGAGCCCCCCTAAGCATCCCTGTCCCACTCCTGTCTCATGCGGAGGCTGGGCCCACCGAGCCCTCCCCAGCAGACCCAGGCTGGTCCAGGGACTGGATTTCTACCTGAGGCTCTGTGGCCCAGCCCCCAGCAGGGGCCTGGGAGAGAGGGGATTGGGGAGAGCCAGCAGATAAAATCTCACCCCCGTGGGACTGTGCAGGTGGCCTCAGGGCCTCCAGCTTCCCAGATAAGAAACGAGAACACTGCCACCCCAATTGAAAAACAATTTAAGATATCATGCTCATTAAAGGGGTTTGCAGGCATAAGAACTGACTAGATTTAGATCTAGTAGTGAACAAAAATCAGATGGTTGAGAACAAGAATTTCATGTAAGTAAAAATATGACTCTGCAATGCAACTGAGCACTTGCAGGGTTTTTGTTTTTTTTCTTTTTTTCCCCCCAGGCTAGAGATAGTTCCTGTCACCAGACACACTGCGTCTGACATGGGACACCGTGGCTGGGGCTATTGACTTTTTTATTTACTTAAAAATCACTGCAATTTGCTAAAGAAGGTTGAATGGTCCTACCTTTCTGTTTAAAAAAAAAAAAAAAAAAGGCAGTCCTAAAATGAATGGTTTGGTGAATCAAATCACCGAAGAAGTGGTACCAACAAGACCACCCAGGCCCCAGCACCACTTTTTTCCTCCAGCCCTCTTTGAAGGCGAGGGTTTAGGCTTGTAATTAAGGGATGCCTTTGTTTCTTTAATGATGCTAATCCCCATCTTGAGGGAAATCACCTTTTAGGTAACTCAGCAACCAGCACCCGCCCCAAGGGCATGAAACAGGGAGGCCCACCTAAGTCCCAGGCTCCCAGCTGGAGGAGGAGGAGGAGTCTGGCCACTGGGCAGGCGAGGGGGCGGGGCGCACAGATGGTTACCGCAAGGACTCCGGTGCCCTCATAGGAGGGGACAAAAACTACTTTGCAAAAAGAGAACCATCACCGTTGGGATCGTGAAAAGTTGAAGTGGCCCCTTCTCCTCCCCAGCCAGCCATTAGAGCCTGAAGTAGGCGCCTGTGGGAAGAGGGGCCTCCGGGTAGCAATGAGCTACCAGGTCCCTAAGGTACCATGTTGAATTTCTCAATCTCACTTTGTTTAGTTTGGGGAAAACATTTTTTCAGTCCAAAAAAAAAAAAAAAGAAAAGAAAAGAAAATCACTGTGGTTTCCCTCCTACTCCCACCCTCCTACTCCCACCCTCTATAATCGCCGCTTGCAAGAAAGAGTTTCACCATTTTCCCATAAAACCAAAAAAAAAAAAAAAAAATGAGGATGCTGGGCAGACATTCTTTGTTTCTTTTCTTCCATCTCTGTGGATTCCCCCCACACCAGCCCTTCTGCTCCAGGCAGGCCTGTCTGCCCACTGTCCCCACACATTCCTCATTTGCACTGGGCTCCAGCCAGGCAATGTCCTGCCCCTTTCTCCTGGTCATACTTCTTCTTCCAGAAGCCAGCTCAACACTCACCTCACTAAGCAACACTGGGGTAGGGTTGGAGGTGGCCCGGGGTCCTTCAGAGCACACACTGCCGGGATGGCCCTGGGCCATCTGCCAGCCGCGGGGAGCTTACTGCTTCCTCCCTGCAGTCTGCCCAGATTGTCTGCAATGACTCCTTCACGCTTCCCTTCTCCCTCCGGTCACTTGTAACTAACTCGTCAATGCACCCATTGTCCGGCAGCTTCTGAGCTCCCACTAGGATGGGTCAGCTCGTTGTACAATATTATTTCGCAGCCGCCCCTTTGTGAGTCTCCTAAAGCCCGTCCATGGGCTCAAGGACACTCTCTTCTCAACCAACATATTTTGAGGGATTCCCTTTGTCTTCCAGTTATTTTCGGTTGCTAGTCTTCTCTCCACCGCTTTACTCACACCTTGGCACTGGTTTGGTGTTTCAGCCAACTTTTGTCCATTCTATTCCTTTAGCAGGGCGGGGTCAGGGGTGAGTAGCTCCTTAGTCAAAGCTCTTGGATTCTCATTAATTGCTCTGCTCCTGACTCACCGCCTGAGCAGGGACGAGTCACTTCCCTTTCTCACCCTTGGCCTCCCCAGCCTCACCGGACTCTCTGCACATCTGGAAAGAACATGGCCAGAATGAATGCGATGTCCTCTATACATCGGGTGACTGTATAATCCACTGTACAGCGGTCCCTTTTGAGAGCAAAAGGAGGTGTTCATAATTATGCCGCAACAGGTTTAAACAGGCTGGTCCCCGGCAGATTCTAGAATCTCATGTAAAAATGGGGATAGGAGCAGGCTTTCCTTAGCTTATCACCTCCCAGCTCATGGACATAGAAGAACATCAGCTCGCTGCAGTCTGTGCTATTAGCTTTGTCCAAGAGGAGGGCTGAGAAATTCAGATCGTCTCTCATACATTTCGAACCTATGTGCAAAAATAATCAGATGCAACCTGTTAACACGGGGTGACCTGAGAAATGGTAGGTGACGCTGGGCAAAGCTGTCATCCTGACAAAGAAGGCTCTTATCTGCTCGTTGTAAGTCCCAGCCTCTCACACTATGCCGTGCCCTGCCTCTCTGACATTTAAACCACCCTGTTATCAAGCACTTGCGTATTTGAGGTATCTAAAAGAACACCTGGCCGTGTCGATTAAGTGGGGCCTGGAGGAAGGGCTAACAGAACTCCAAATCAGCTCTGAGGGGCCTTATGATGTTCCGAGAATTCAGTTGGTGGGAGCATTCCCATATAAGATCTACATCTGGGCTGTGCCCATCGGGCCCCTCGACTGAACTCCTTCTTCTGGGAGGGCACAACCAGACCAGAAGAGAGAGCCAGCACGCAGCGTGCAGCAAGATCAGGAATCAGCAGAAACAGAGCTACCCATGCTTGGCTCGGGAACCAGATACCAGGCACTGGGCAGGAATGCGCCCTTGGGAAGCTGTTGCTTAACCCCCTGGCTCCTCAAGCTCCCTGCCTCCTTGACAAAGGCCAAGGCAAACAGGGATCCTGGGAGAGACCAGACCAACCAGCCAATGCCAGCTCACTTGGGGTTAGACCGGGGCTGGGAGGGGCCCAGCAAACCTGCAGGAGGCCGGGCTCTGGGCACAGTCCCAGGGCTAGGCAGGTTTCTGCAGCTCCCACTTCCCAGTGGAAAAGTGCAGGATTCCCAAAGACTGTTGAGCAAGAGGCTCAAATTGTCTTCAGATTGGGTCTAATCTAGCTAGAACCATTCGGGATCCAGGATGAAGCTGGATCCAGTTACAGACCTCCCTGAGAAGTGAAGAGAGGTCCAGATACACCTACATCTCCAGCTGACACGGTCTCGAGGGTGAGCCCAACCCCTTAGTGTGGAGTTAGGGTCTGTGGCCTTTGCCCCAGGTCAGCGATCAACATCGTAAAGGGTTTGTTCCGTTATCAGAGGGAGGGGAATGGGGAGAAGCACAGGAGATGGTTGTCTGGGTGTGTTTATTTTCTTTTAAAATATAAACTGAGTTGGAGATGTTCTCAGGGACACATAGAGCACTGTGATTGTCAGCCTGTTGGACGGGCAGTCCGTGTGATCTCTCTTCTGCGCTGCACACTGTCGGCACGTGACAAAATGGTGGCCATCTTTATACCAGGATTTGGGTGGCACACGGGGCTCCCGGACATTCATCAGGACTTCTTTCCCATTAAAAATGGATGGGCTGCAGCAACCTGAACCAGGTAGATTAACTCCAAGTTGAAAACCTTTCTCCTTTCTCCAGGAACTCAAATACAATACTGGAGATCCTGGGGAATATAGAGAGGAGAGTTAGCTTCGGAAGGTTGGTGTTGTCCAAAGATTAGGTGTCTCTAATGAATGAAATCCCAGAAAGTGCATCTCCTCACATCCTGGTGTGATTTGGCTCTTATCGGTTTCAATGATGAATAACTAAGTATGTGCTTTCCTTCCGTATACACACACACACACACACACACACACGCAGAGACCCTGTCTCCGGGGCAGGGAGGTAAGATTAGGTAGAGATTAGGTAGCTGATCCTTCTAGGCTGATTGATTGGCTGTTGCTCAGCCCCAAATGCAGCAGCTCCAAGGACAAGCTGCTTCTGGGAGGTCACAAAGAGCCTCGACATTTCAAGACAGTAAAAGTTGGTGGTTGCGGACGAGGAAGTCTTGGTGGCTCAGTCGGTTGAGCGCCCAACTCTTGATTTTGGCTCAGGTCATGATCTCAGGGTCCTGAAGTCAGGCTCCTGACTCAGCGGGGAGTCTGCTTAAGATTCTCTCTCTCCTTCTGCCCCTCTCCCCCTGCTCTCTCTCTCTTTCTCAAGTTAATAAATCTTTGGGTAAAAAAAAGTTGGTGGTTGGGAGTGAGAGAAGCCAGTGAGGAAGACCCTGTCCCAAGAGGCTCATCTTCACCACTGTCCAGTTTTTAAAACTCAGGTTTGCTCTGTCAGGTGCCTTGGCTGGGAGACTGTCCTGACAGACACAGGGAAGGTTCTGTACATGGGAGACAGGCCATCTGGGCCAGAGCTGAAGACTTGCAGATTCTCAGGTGACTTAGAGTGAGTCACCAGCCCAGGCCTCTTTCTAGTTAAGCAGAGGCCATGCCCCAGTTTTGAACACCTGAAGGGCACACGGGTGGCGGGAGGAGCCCGCCCTGATCTGCATACAATGGGGACAATTGCAGGCCCAGGTTGGAGAACCAGAACTGAGAACCCACTGCCTTCCACACCGCCCAGAGTCCAGAGTCGCTAGAGGTCTTATCCCCATATTCACACCAGTGCTTCCTTGTGTCCTAAGCCATGCACGCCTCCCTCCCCTCAATTCACTCAGAAAAGAAAAAAAGAAAAAAAAAAAAAGCCTTACTGAGCAGCCCTCAGCCAACCCCTTCCCCCCTGTGGCAGGTCCTTTCTTCAAGGCCCGAAGTGCCACCTTTGAGGTCACATCCGTGGAGGGAGGAGAGACAACAAGCAGGGGTGAGTGGGTGATGTCACCCTGCGTTCTTGCAGGCTGAGGACATGCTCTACATTCTTGGGGATTGGCTCCAGCCCGAGCCCCTGGGATGCAAGACAGGATGAGGTAAAGCCACTCCTGGACGCCGACATCTTCTATCAGCAAGCCCAGAGAACACGGAAGAGAAAAAGCACAACAATCTCAATGGGATTAATTAATCCATTTATGTATTTAGTTTGTGAAAGTTCTTCCGGTTCTTTCTAAATGAGGGAAAGGGGCAGGCTGGGTGGCTTTGGATAGTATCTGATGAATGGAAGACAGATACGGATCCCAAACCCGAAAGTTCTCCAATGCCAGGCTTGGAGAGCCTTCAGACGGGAGCCATGGGAAGTTGACAAGTAAAAGGAAAACAAACATGGTTTTCTCTTTCCTAATGCTTTCCCCTGCACGTTAACAGTTTGCCTACAGATCCAGCAAAGCCTGCAGTGCTGGGTGGCTCTGAGGACTGACTTGGATGCTGGCCGCAGGATGTGGGGTCCTTCGTCTACTGAGGCCTGGCCTGGGGGCTCGGCCAGCTGTCGGCAGGGCCTCTCTGCTGTCCACCCCGTGTCCTGCGGCAGGAGATAAGGAAGCAGAGGAAGGGCAGCCAGGAGGGGGCGAGGGCTGGAGTGACCTAACCTTTCCCTTTTAGGTTCCAGGGCCCTCCCTCAAGGCGCGGACTTCATGAGAAATGGACCCACAACTCAGGAGCCGAAACAGACACACCCAGCCCGGTGACGTCCCCAACCAGCCAGTGACCCGCGGCAGCCCACTCTCACTGAGAGGTTCCTGTGCACACGACCCTGTTGGGGAGCACCTGCTGACCATGGCTGGGGGCTTGCGGAAGTCAAATTAGGGAAGTGAGAGGAGCACATGAGAAGTTCTGGAAGCAGGGAAGGATGGTTGCACACATTGAGTGAGCGTGGTGGTGGGCAGACTGTAAGAGGAGGCAAAGCTGCGGCTGGGACTTGAAAGGGAAGCAGAATTCAATGAGCAAACCAGAGATGGGAGGGAGATCTGGGCTTAGAAAAAGTGGAGGGACTATGGACAAGGTGTGCTTGGGAGAGAGTGACTATTCAGCAGAGCGGGGCTGGGGGTCCTGGGGTGGGGGACAGTGGGAAATAGAGCAGCAAAAGTGGGTTCACATCAGCCTTTGGATGTTCCTGAAAGTCACGTGAGGGGTTTGGGCTGCATTCAGAGGGGAGCTGTGGAAAAGTTTTGTTAAGGGGGGGGTCAGTATGTATTGAGATCTTATCGTGTGCCAGGGACTGTGGTAGGAACTGGGGGGATCAACCATGGCTAAGACCTGGTCTTTTCCCTTAGAGACTTTCTAGTTTGGGGGACATGAGGGATAAGAAACAGATACATTCAGTCATATATGCTAAGTGCGGGGGTAGAAATATTCCCAGGCTACCGGCAGGTCTCAAGGAGTTAGAAGCTGGAACTGAGAAGAGGCAAGCAGGATGAGCAGAAGGGCCAGGCCCCTCCATGGCTGTTGAGCTCATGGGCCGCCCGCCTGGCTGAAAGCTCCAAGGAATCTCAGCTGAAAGGGTCAATCTTACTGCCGCTAGTTATCTCTTTGAAATAAATCTATTAATTCCTTTTGTTCTATAGGAAGAAGAAACTTCCCCCTGGCTTCCCAAAGACCACCACCACTGCTCACACTTTGGAAATTCTTCTGTCAATTCATTTTCAGTTTTTATTTGGTTTTCACATTGTTGTAATCATACCGTGTTTACAATTTTGTATCCCACTGCATTTATCATCCTAGTGTGTATATGTTTCTGCATGTTAAATTTATCCTGGTTATTGCGAAGGTTCATATTTTTATATATATTTACACGCAAAGGTCACTTCACTGGTTTTCCCTTTCTTAGCAGCAAACTTTGAAAATGTTTCTTTTCTTTTCTTTCTCTCTCTCTCCCCCACCTCTACCCTCCCTCCTATCCTTTCTTTTTCTAAAAATTTCTAGTTGCCAGCTCACTGCCTCCCTTCATTTCGCATCTTTTCCAGACTCATGACCGAACATCTCTTTCCAAGCTGCAAGGAGCTTTGTTAAGACATACACCAGAGGATTGCTCTAAGGTCTAAACTCCCCGAAGTTTTAAGGTACTTGCTGGGCAGAGGGGAGATTTCTGGTGAAGGCAGTTCTCACTCAAAGGGGCTGCGGCCGGGAGGCTCATTACTCCAGGCCGGGGACAGTTGTCAAGATGAAAAGGACAGGAAGGCGAGTCTGGGCCAAGGCATGTAAAGGTGTTTCCTGGATTTTTCAAGATCTAGAGTGTCAGAGAAAGGGAAGTGTAACGTATTCTACTTGGAGAGGAAATAAATGTGTGGTCTGTCAACTAAGCCCTGGTCTACACTCAGAAAGAGAGTTTTAATATCATATAGTGTTTACAGTGATGTTTCCCAAGGGCAAGCTTGCCCTTTCCCTGCTGGGTACCTTGACTAGGTAGGTACACACAGCCCCGCTCTCTCTCCTTCACCTTCTCCCTCTTCTCTCTCCCTTAGCTCCTCGAAATATCCAAAGGAGCCTTTGTCCAATAATCATGACACTAGCTCGCTTTGTCCCACGTGCCGGTCACTCTCCCAAGCTCTTTTGTGAGTGTCTCAGGACACTACCAGGAGATAGGCAAAAATCATCGTCCAAGGTCACACGACCAGAATGTGTCAGAGCTTGGAGGTAAACCCAGGGCACCCTACCCGAAAGCCCATTCTCTTAACCGCTACCCCCATTTGTCTGTTAATGCACTCTTAAGGTCACCCCTTTCAAATGCACAACAGAATCCCAGTGGGATTCTATTGCAGAGATAGGCATGAAGTTCAGAACTCTTTTTTTGCATTATATGCCAAGAATTCTACATTTTTTGCAGTTCAGTGTTGGGTGACTGCTTTTTTGGGCCAGGTTTGGAGCGACTCAGAGAGGCTCCCTGCCTTTTCCTGAACTACGCAGAGAACTCTCAGAGCGCTGCCTAAGCGGGGCAGCCTGGTGTAGATACGTCAAGGCTTTGGGCTCCATCTGACATCCAGGGCAAGGGCCGCAGAGCGAGGACAGCGTGTTCCACCGGCCTGATCTAATCAGAACTCTGCCGCCACCGCACGTCGGTCTGTCCCCCGAGTGTCATAGAGTCCATTTCCCATCCCCCAACACCTCTGTTCCTGTCCCTATCGACTCGCAGGATGGAGTTTCTGGAGGAGAGAACTTTATCAGGAAGAGGAAGTCACCAGTGTTGATTTCAAAAGATCCCCCTCTGCGCACCTCCCTTCTCTGAGACCCTTGAATGACTTTCACTGGGGGTAGCCGCCCTGCCTCAAGTCCACCCGCCCCCACTTGCCACACACTTCCTGCCCCGAATGTCAAGGTTTTCATTTGACCATGATATAATGAGCTGTATAAAATTAAAAACAGCTAAGTACCATCTTATTTACAGCAATTTTCTGAAGTCATCACAAAAACCTCTCCTTAACGACGCCAACCTACAGATCATACCAATCACCAAGGAGAAGCCCAATCACTACAGCCACCGACTACAACATAAATCAACTCGGAGCCCCAAGAGCCCGCTCACCCTCACTCTGTCCTTAGCCCAGGCGGGTTTTTCCATCACGTGCTTTTCCGGCAACAGGGAGCTGGGGTGCAGGGAACGCTCCGTTCCCTTTCTAAAAACTGGGACCACTTAAAAATATCTCCAAGCAAGCAACCAGGATTCAGAGGAATGCTGTTCACACCTGCAGGAGCTCAGTGCTGGGTTGCAGGCTCCTGAGTGCCCTCCAACCTGGACTGTGGCCGCGGCCCCACATGAGCACCGCAAGCAGACCCAGATGGAGTGGTTGTATCTCCACCTGGGTGGATAACCTAGCCACAGCCCTAACTCCTTCCAAGGCCTGTTATGAACTGAATTGTGTCTCCTCTTCACCCGACATCATTCATATGCCACTGTCCTGACCCCGGTAACTCAGAATGTGACAGTGTTTGGAGATGGGGTCTCTAAGGAGGTAATTTACGGTTAAATGAGGTCATAAAGGTGGGTCCTAATCCTATATGGCTGGTGTTCTTAGCGAAGGAGGGAGAGACCCCAAGAAGGAAAGGCCACGTGAGCACAAGGGGAGAAGGGCAGCCACCTACAAGCCAAGGAGCGAGGCTCTGGGAGAAATCAACAACCTGACACCTTGATCTTGGCCTTCTAGACTATATTCTGAAAATATAATTCATTCCCTAATTTGGGTACTTACTGGGCTTGGGATTTTCTCAAATACACGTAATGATCCCATATCTCAAAATAGATCATGGGTATCAAACTTTAGTATGATTTGCTGACGTATTTAAATCTGTTTTTCTTTCTCCCAAATTACCTGTTCCTGCAGTCATGCTCTTTTATTTGTCAAGTATAGATTTAATTATTGTCGTATGCAGTGAGTCTCTGCTTTTTATCAAGTTTCATTCCTGGAGAGTTTATGGCAAAGTGAATGGCCTGAAAGTAGATTATATTTTACCATAGGAACAACAATGTAACTGAGAGTTTTATTCTTGATTTAACATCAAATGAATTCTAGATATGACCATAATATGTCACAAAAGCAAAAACACAGCACTTTTAAACCTCTAGAATCGATTGCAAGAGTAAAATTAATGTTCTGGCCATTAAATAGGATTAAATGGATTATATATATTTTGTAATGAAAAAGCCTTCGTGTGTGTGTGTGTGTGTGTATAAAATATAAAATTTCCCTGTTTCTCCACCTCTTCCCTGACAATCCATTCTACACACTGGCACCAGATTTATCTTAATAGATGAGCCTCCAAGTTGACAGAACTTCTTGCTCCCCTTCACTTGTAAGAGCAAGTTGAAACCCTTGAGCATGGAAGATCCCCACACGAGAGAGCCTCAACTACCTCCTGGCCCCTCCTCCAGTCTTCAACATTAGCTCACTGCTTAGCAAACTGGCTAACAGATGCCTCCCAGGCCTCACACAGCGCCCCTCCAGCCTAAGAGGACTCACATGTCCAACCCCAGAGCATTGGTTGGCTGGTCACCTCCTTCCACGTTGGGGCATCATTCTGTGCTATTCCTACTGGGTAGTGCTATCCATGGTAGACAGCTGGGCCTCAGTAAAGGAAAGGGAGAGAAACCAACATTAGCTGAGGACCTACTATGTGCCAGGCACCATGTCTAGCATTTTTACACAGTGAATCCTTACAACATCTTTACGTGGTAGGTATTTGCATCTTAACAACCGAGAATGCAAGGGTTCTTTGAGTAACTCGGCTAAGAAGTAGAGCCAGAATTTAAACCTAGAAAGTACACAGGAAGGATAGAAAGCTAGAAATCAGGAGATCTCCAATTGAATTAACCTCTTCCCTCTTCGAATCTCATTTTTTCTCATTAACATAGAGGGCTTACAATATCCACCTCACAAAAATGGGCAAATTAATTGAAGACATGCTTTTGAAAGGCTTTATCAGCCATTGGAGGGATTATTTCTTATGGTGCTTAGCACAGCGTAGCGCTCACCAAATATTTGTTGTTAGATTGATTTCTGTTTCTTCTCCTAAGAGTTGCAAGGTCTGCTGGTCCCACCCGCCATGTCTCCCTGTTATTAGCTGGTTCATGTTTTCATGACATGACATGTTTTCATAATATTCATGTTTTCAGCTTTGAAAAAGAGATCACACTGTTGCTGAGAACCCTTTCCCGGTCCAGAATGATCAGATAGTCAACACTTACCTGCACACATTCGCAAATATTGCTTAATGTCCTTAGGAGAATTCCTCCCTATATTTTGTAATCGGTGTTGGTGAGTGCCAACGAACTCCAGTGTGTAAGGTCAGTTTGCTTCTACTCCTTGAAAGATAACAATGGTCAATAATCGTTTCTATGTCTCCTACTTGTAGGGCTCACTTCAGTGGGCTGAAAACCCCTGATAGGGGGTGATTACCAGCCCTTTCCCTATAGTACCTATGAAAAGCAGTGTGGGTCACATGCTAAGTCATTTATTTTTACTAAGAGTTCTGTTGTTCCTTTTCATGATAATGGTAACTGAGTTTTGGCTTCTAACTTATCTTGCCACACCTTCTGAGTATTTGTGCGTGATACTCAGCATGTTTTATGGTCTGGGTTCTGTTATTTATTTGGGGCTTCAGTTTTCCTTCTGTGTCTTTGTCCTTCCTTTGCAGATGACACAAGTTAGCTCCTTGCAAACATGTCTTCTGCATTGATTCTCATCACGGTATGATTCTGACCCTCAGCTGTCCTATTTAACCTTTCAGAAATTTCCTGAAGCAATCTCCTCTTGCTCCCGTGTAATTAGAGTTCCTGTCTCTGAATTGCTATAGTCAGAACTTGCCTCTATCCACAATTTCTCTCCTGCTTATAAATTTCTTTTCATCTGAAGGAGTAAAATCAGTACCTCTTTACATTTCTTAACTGTAGTTTTAATAGCTCGGATTCTTCTTGTAAGAGACATGCTTACCCTTCAGAGCACCTTTTCCACCACAACTGCCTCTACAAAATCAAAGTTATTTTTAAGACAGAATGGCACACAAAAAGTAGGAACCAACAGCACTTTTGTGCATAATGCTAATAACTTCTAGATACAGATTTTATTTTTCTACCCTACATTCCTGCTCTCTACGCTTACTCGGGGATCAAACTGAAACCTCACCCGAGCAAATCCATTTTCCCCTTTTCCCTTCTTGTCCAAACATATAAGCCTTTTTCACTCTGCCTAGTTCAGCTCTTCATGAATATTAATCAGTCCCATTGAGTCATCTTTGCATTTTCCATCCATTAATAGACACCTTTCTGGATGGACATCAGATGGTTTATCTACCCTAACTAGGCTCGCTATTCTCTTTTTTGAAGAACGCTTG